AGCAGGGAGTAGCACTATTTGAAAGGATTGTAAGGATTAAGAGGTGTGGCCTTGTTAGAGGAACTGTGTCACTGGGGCTGGGTTTTGAGGTTTCAGAAGTCCAAACCAGACCCAGAGTTTCTCCTCTCCTCCACTCTCTCTCCCTCCCCCTCTCTTTCACCCTCCATTTCCCTCCTCCTCTCTTCTCCTCCACCCCCTCTCCTCTTGCTCAACAGGATGAGCTCAGCTCCAACTTCAGCTTGCATGATGCTCCTGCCATGATAAGTGCCTCTGAAATTAATAAATGTTGCTGTGGTTGTGGTGTTTCTTCACAGCAACAGAACAGTGACTAAGACACCAGACAAACACTTTTGCCCATTGGGCTACTTGCCAGCCCAGGTTTTTTTGTTTTTGTTATTTGTTTTGTTTTGTTTTTTGCTGTTTTTGTTTTTTCAAGACAGGGTCTCTCTATGTAGCTCTGGCTGTCCTGGAACTCAAACTCATAGAAACCCACCTGCCTCTTCCTCCTGAGTGCTGGAATTAAAGGTATATTAGCTCCCCCTTCCAAATTTTTAATTAAAAAAATCTTTTTTTTAGTATTGAGACAGGATCCCATGTAGCTGAGGTTGGCCTCAGACTCACTATGTAGCCAGTGATGCTGTCTCCCCTTTTGAGTGTCAAGGTTATTTATGTGGTTGTAGGGATGGAGCCAGGCTTTGTGCACTCTCCATCTGAGTTACAGCCTTGACCCAGTTAATGGTATTTTGTATGTTTCTGAGACGGGGTCTTGTATATCCCAGGATTGAAAGTGCCTCTTTCTTTTACCTGAAGATCATACTGCCATGACCACCTTCTTTGTTCCTTTCTGCTTGCCCCCACTGTGAAGCTCTTAATGCTGGGTTCCTTCTTAACTCTGACCTTGCCTAGAGAGAGCTGTTGCTCTGGGGGTCAAACATGCCCCATGTAGTGGAGTCTCATTTCTGCCATGCACATGCCACATGACAAATCTGGTGTCTTCACTCAGTGCAGGCCAGCATGCCCTGGGAGGATGACAGGACTGGGACTCAAAGGCCTCCGTGCATTGTGTCTGGGCTTTGTGCAACTTCAGAGTGCAGCCATCCTGCTACACCCAGGGCAGCAGGCTGCACTTGTTTTCAGGTAGCTTTTATGCTCAGTTTCTGGCTGTGGATGCTTTGGTTTTATAAAAAAATAAAAATTAAAAAAAAAAAAAGTGCATCATTGTTGAGCCCCAAGAGTACATTTTCCCAGGTCACATACCCATGTAACTGTCTATCTCTGTCACACCTGGGCTCTCTTTGCAGCAAGTCAGGATGGAGTGAAGGCTTCCAGCCTGGAGCTCCTGTAGCCCCAGCACTCACTGCCTGCATGGGAGAAGCTCCATCATCTCATCAATAAACAGGAGCTAGCATTTTGTCTGCCCTATAGCATTGCCCTGTAGGAGGACTGAATGAGGAACTCAAGGCCAAGCATGATAGCATACATACACTGCCAGTAATCCTAGCCTTAGAGCATAGGGAGGAGCTTGCTGAGAGTTTGAGGTCCTGTATGTGAAACATTGAGTGAACAGTGAGGAATGTGGCCCTCTATCAGGAGGGGTGAGATGGTCTCAGGTATTCAGGGTGCCCTCAATCTCCATAAGTCCCTGAGATTGACCTTGTCCTGATCCTCTTCTACTTGGCAGAGTGCTGGAATAGCAGGCATATGCCCCATGCGTCACTGTGATCTGTTTATTAGGAGAGTGCATTACACATCCTTTTCTAGAAGTTTATTCTTCTGTGTCTTTCCACCCTTGCCACCTGTTGAGGGTTATAGAGCTCCTAGAATATAGGAGCCGGGAGCATGGCTCAGGTAGAGCTGGCCTAGCATGTGTGAGGCCCTAGGATCAATCCTGAGTACTGTAAACACAAAATTAGCCCTCCTCACACATTCAAATGCTTTTTAAAAGAAGATTTATTTATTTTATTTGCATGTACATATATATGCATGCCAGAAGAGGGCGTCAAATCCTAGTATAGATGGTTATTCCAATGTGGTTGCTGGTAGTTGAATTCAGGACCTCTGGAAGCGCAGCCAGTACTCTTAACTGCTGAGCCATCTCTCCAGCCATAAATTCAAAGTCTTAAAACAAACAAAGAAAAAATAATCTTCAGTCCGCACACTGTGGTGTATACCTGTAATCCCAGCACTTAGGGAGGCAGAGGCAGGTGGACCTCTATGAGTTTGAGGTCTACAAAGTCCAGGACAGCCAAGGGTACACACAGAAACCCTGTCTCAAAAATCAATCTATGGGTGTGGTGTGGACAGTGCCACAGACCTGTCGGAGGACAGATAGCATGGGGTATCTCCTTCTGCCTTGTATGCTGGTCTGGATAGTCCATGTGCTGGGAGTTCCGCCTGTTCACAGTAAGGGTGAGGACTACAGCTGCCTTTACCTGTGTTTGGAGATCCAAACTCAGGTTCTCATGCTTGCCTGGCAAATACTTTACCCCATGAGCCATCCCCTCTGCTCCAAAGGTCTAAGGTTTATATTGAAGTCCATTTTCAATTGAGCATGTAGTAGTGGCTGTGGCAGGAGCTAGCCAGATGCTGAGTCTTGTGAGGAGTCTGCTCTGGCTGGTTCATGGCCAGGCTAAAACTGCTGGAGGGTGCTGGGTGTGGTGATGCATACCTTTAATCCCAACATTTCTGGGAGGCAGAGACAGGCCGATCTCTGTGAGCTTGAGGCCAGTCTGGTCTATAAATAGAGTCCAGGACAGACAAGGCTACACGGAGAAACCCTGTCTCCAAAAAACAAAAACAAACAAAAGAACTGATGGAATGTGATGTCTAGAGCATCCCCTCCACAGGGGCCTCATTCCCGTTTTCTCCCGTGCACACAGCTGTGGTGTTGCAAAGCTGCTTCAACAGCAGTGTGCAAAACTGCTCCCTGTCCTCTTCCTGCCATCTTGCCCAGCTGGAGGAGAACTAAAGGAACCTGAGGGATCTGGCATGCTATGCTTTTTTAAGAGGCAAGTGTGGTGTCCCAGCTGTGTAGTGGACTGCAGCCAGCCCCATGCCCCTGTAGCCTCTTGCCCTGAAAACCTTGTCCTCTGTCTGGTCCCTCTTATCCTGTGCCTGGAGTGTGGCACTGATCAAGCTTGTGCGGGTAGCTTGCATGGCAGCTGTGGGGCCGCCGAGGGCTCTGTCCCAGCCTGGGAGCTTGACTTGGAGACCACTGCCTGCATCATGAGCTAGCTGTGACTGAGGTCTCTGCTCATGCCTGTTTCACAGATGGTCATGGCTGTGGACTGAAGCTTGGATGGTGTCACAGTGAACACTGAGGCAACCTTCAGGTGTGGCTTCAGTGTCACCAGGAAGCCATGGCATATGAGGAAACGTGATGACATCGGCCCTGCTTCCTTGTCTCTGTTAGCACTCTGTTGTCTCTGCCCCTGGGCTCCTTGTGGACCTGTGCCTCCTCAGCATGCATGGCGGGTAACAGGGCTGCAGCAGGCTTCAGTTGGCCTGGCTGTAGCAGCCTCTCTGGATGCTAGGCCTTGTTTCTCTTGATTGTGGAGCTGTCAGTTTGCTTGTTTTGAGTTTTATCTTGAGATGGGGACTGGCTACATCATAGGCAGGCTGGGCTAAGAAAGTTTGTTTGTTTTAAAGGCAGTCTTAGTATGGAGCCCATGTGACCTGGGACTCACTATATAGACTAGGCTGGCCTTAGACCTACAGAGATCCTCCTGCCTCTACCTCCTGAGTGTTGGGATTTGAAGGCATGCACCACAACTTAAGGAAGTTTTGATAAATCTCTCAGGATCTGTCATATCCCTCCATCTCCCTGTGGCTCTGTGGCTTTACTTCACTTGGCTCTGGTGTGTGTTTTGTGCTGGGTACCCAAGACTGGGCCATTAAGAACAGGTTTACCTCATATAAGCTATAGTGGTTGGGAAGGCCAAGCAGGACACCCACATCTGGCCAGGCAGATGGGGGCAAGACATATCCATCTTCCAGTGGGAAGTCACTTTCCGAGTAATAGCAGCCTGAAAGCTCTGGGTATGGAGCGCCCTGGCTGAGCCAGAAGGTGTCCCTTCCCCCACCCCTCACTGGGCTTGAGGCTGCTGCGACTTGACTGCAGCCTCTGGAAAGCCGCAGCAGGGAGGCCCTTTCATATAGTGACTGGTTTTGCTTTTTTTGTTTGAGACAAGGCCTCACTGAATAGCCCAGGCTGTCCTGACACACAAGACTCCTGCCTCGGCCACCCCTTTCCCCCGGAGCTGGAAGACCCCACTGCTCCATGGTGGCTTGCTCCTCCAAGCGACTCTTTTCTCCTCATAGAGGTGTCCTGTTAAGGCCAGTGGGGGAACAGTGGGAGCCTGTGGACTCAAGTCAGGTTAGAGCAGGACCTTGGGAGTCCGGGCTGAGTGAGAAGTGTCCTTGTGCTGGATGTGGGATGGCTGTTAGCTTCCGGCACAGCAGCCATGAGTGCCTTCAGCATAGTGCTGTGTGCATGAATCTGTGCACTGTCACCTGGCAGGATGGGTGAGGACCTAAAGACAGTCAGCCAAATGAATGCTGGTGACTCAGGGCACATACACACTCCACCCACACATGGACTAGAAAGAAGGCAGAGAGAGGGGCCCTACCCCTCCCTGGGTGAGCTCTCTGTGCTGGAACCAGGGTGTATGTTGATGGTAGCAAAGCATTGTGTATTGTCACTCCGCTATAGAGGCTAAGGCTAGAGATCACTTGACCCTAGGAGTTCAAGATAAGGTTGGGGCTAGGTGTGGCAGTTCCTGCCTGTAATATCAACACTCAAGAGCCTGAAGCAAGAGGATCACTAGGAGTGTGAGGCCAGCCAGAGCTATCAGCAGAACCTTGTCCCAATAAAAGTGAAACAAGACAACAAAGCAGCTTGGCCATGACCTGAGGAGAGAGCAAGGTAGGAGGTGTGCTTGTGCTGGAGGGCCGCATGTCTACTTGTAGCTGACCACTTTCTGACTCTCTGTTCTCTTTAGGTTCCCAGTGGAAATCCATTGTACGAGTCTTATTATAAGCAGGTATGTTTAGCTGTTATTTTTATTTTTTTTAAGACACACTTGTGTGCGCATATATGTTTTGGTGCTGGGGGTGGAACCCAGAGCCTCTTACATGAAGAGCAGCTCAGCCACTGAGTTTCTTAGCCACCTGTTATCTTTGGGGTAGAAGTTGGGTGTTTGTAAGTGGTTTTGTCAACCTTGCTGTCCTGTTGCAGGTGGACCCTGCGTACACAGGGAGAGTTGGGGCCAGTGAGGCTGCGCTGTTTCTGAAGAAGTCGGGGCTCTCAGACATCATCCTGGGGAAGGTAGGAAAGATGAAGCATGGTCTCCTGTATCCTTGGAGTGAAAGCCAGCTATGCAGACCTTCCTTGGGCAGGGGCAGGACACCCTGAGCTCACTCTTTGCTGTAACTGGTGGGTGTGAAGACAGCCCTGGATAAAACTGTTAGATCTGACTTTCCTTGTCCATCCTTCTGCTTGGGAGGCTAACACAGAAGGATCATGAGTTCCAGGCCAGCCTGGGGCAGTCTCAGGTGGTGGTTGCCTTCGAGGTGTAGGCAGCAGACCAGAGCAGAGTATTTTTGGTGTCTTGATAGCTATAGGTTTCTGTTTCCGTGCACCTTCACCCTGGAGCTAAGTGGGCGTACGGGTCCTTTGGGCCCTGCCACCAAATAACTGTGGGCTGGCAGGGCTGTTGGTCCCAGTGCTCATGACAGAGAAGCGGTTGATGTTACTTCTGTCTGTTCAGCTTGGTTGGTGAGCAACAGTCATACTCACAGGCACTTTTGTGTCTCCACAGATATGGGACTTGGCGGACCCGGAAGGTAAAGGGTTCTTGGATAAACAGGTATATTATGTACACATGGAACAGGGGAGGGTTTGGGCACCCCTGAGGCTGGGCGACTACATTTCTCCACTGTTCCAGTTGTCCACACACAACCACCAAGCTCAAGTGAGAAGTTCTTACTTTGGCATGTAGGTCTCTTAAGTATGCCCAGTACCCTAACATAGGTGTTTGGCTGTCTTGTGTCTGTCTCATCTTCTTTACCTGTTTCTCTGGTAAATTGCCTCAGCAGAAGCAACTTGGGAAAAGGGCTTCTGGCTCACAGTTCCAGGTAGAGCCCACTGTAGGGGTTGGGATGTGGGGGGTGTCGAGGCAGCAGGAACCTGAAATCACATGCAGTCAGGAGCAGAAAGAATGAATGCAGCAAGCAAGTGTCCGGCTAGTCCAGGCCTAGCCAACGAATGGTGTGGCCACATGCAGGATGGGTGACTCCATCTCAGTTAACCCAAGGAAGCCCCTCATAAGCCAGCCTATTTAAAGCAGTCCCTCATTGAGACTTCCTTCCTAGGTAGTTCCCATGTGTCAAGTTGACAAAACTAAACAACAGAGAGAGGACTCAGCCAGGACTCACATTTGGCAGCTTACAACTACCTGTAACTCCATCTCTGAGGGATCCCATGCCCCCTTTTGGCCTTCAAACCATCTACACACACACACACACACACACACACACACACACACACACACACACA